TAGTTTCTCTTTGTAAGTTTATTAAGTTGGCAACAGTAAGCTCATGCTTTATAATCTCACTGATTGTAACACAGTTCTCAAGGTTGTTTGAAAGTCAGTTGGACATCCAGAATGCCAAAGTTGAGCACAATGGTTTGTGGCTAACATTTGATATGCTTGCAGGCTAACAGGGCCCTGGTGAAGCTGTGCACAGACTACCTCCGAGTCCATTTCCAAATTATTTGCTTCTTCCTCAGGAAGAGTCTAATGATCTTTGTGGCCTATCCAAGCTCCTTTCTGTGTCAATGGACAGAGCTAGAAATCTCTGAAAGTCTTTTTGACAGTGGTTCCGAGATGCTAAAAAAAGACGATAGATTGTACTTTGATAGTGCAGTGAGCCCACAGCTTCCCTAATGTTGTGTGCTGAAATGTGAGTTATCTAGAGCTGCCAGCAGGAAGTGGTAGGCAACGGGTTGTGTCTGAGCAGATGTCCGACTCACAGCATCACCGTGAGGTAATTTCCATGAGGTGTCATTATCTATGCGAGATTGAAAATGCTGGATTTTTATGAGGGATGCCTATGAAACAACAGTACTGAGCAACTACACAGGGATCATTCAGGAACTGCACAAACAATATAATTTGCTTTCATGGACAGATACTTCTATTTATAATGGAAAGTATGACCAGAAAATACATTTTCTGTCATGACAATCTAAATGTTAAATATTGAATAAAACAATATAGACAGAGACTTCCATTACGAGGCAAAACCCTAAGTTTCAGAACACAAACTGGAAATGTAACCTTTGATTAAGAAATAAAATGTCAGGAGTCAGATAAGAACAGAAAAACAACAACAATAACAAAACAAAAAAACCACTAAGGATACAAATCAGGCAAACAGACAACAAATATTTATTTTTATACAGCGTTTAACTCAGTCTCTTCACGTGTAAATCACCTTGTCACTCCTTCAGCAGCTGAATATTTCACAACACCCTTCATCTTGTGCTATACTCTTCCTCAGCTTAGTGATTAAGTTCCAGGAAATGCCGTAAGGCCTGACCTTGCCGGTACTTTATGCACATAAAGAAATCTACATGAGAAATTCCTTCACAGTATTCCCATTGCAATATCAGCAATACACGTTACTGAAGGACTGATCAAGACACTGAAGCCTATTTTTAAACATAATGCTACAAATTACCCTGTCTGCACTTGCAGCTATTTAAAATAAGATTAAATGTAACCATGAAAGTTATACCTATATAATTATATTATGTAGGGGTGTGTGTATATATATATATATATATATATATATAATGTTTTCTGCACTCTCGTGTGATGTATAAACCTTTGGACTTGTCAACTCTGGCCTTTGGTTTCATTATTCATACCTTTAGCACTTACTTATACATGCAGTATACTTGGAAGAAATACATTTAGCAAGTCAGAAAACCCAGCTGTTACAGAGTAACACAATATATAGCCTCAGCAACAATCACAATAACAAACCTGGACCCCATTCTCCTAGGAATATTTAATGAGATTATGGGTCTGTATGCCATTTTCTAGGACATAAAGGTGTAATGCAATTTATTAAATACATACTAACTACAGCTATAATCAGTCAGCCACTTGACTAGCCTTCAACGATGAGATAACCCACTTCTGGGAAGACAGAACCTTCTCAACGCTGGTCTTCACCTGAGGAATGAGCACCCTGGAAACTACAGTCCACCTGAGACCTCATAATCTCATCACTTTCCACTCTCAGGAGAAGCTGTGTGTTTTTCTGCCCATGACTTCTCAGAAGCATGCAGAACCGTGCTTAAATTATATACAAACACTTCCAAACCAAAAGGAACTCCCCCAGAAGACACTTTTTGCCACCCTTCTGGAACAGGACAGTGTATCCATGTGTGAGAGAACAGAATTTTGCTCTTCAGTGCACTTCAGAGACACAACGAAGGTCAGAATAAGGTACATGGGCAGAAATAGATTGTAAGAGAGTTACTGATGCCCAGCGAACACTTTTTTTTTTTTACGTTCACTTTCTATTCCAACAACAACCTTTCACATGTGTATGTAAATTGATTAAAAATTAAGTGCTGTTACAAATTTGTTGTTTGCTTTTTTTTTTCTCCTAACAGCGATAATCTTCTTGAACTCCATTCCCCACCGTCCCGTAACCTCCTGTTTTTGCAGAGGCAGTGCCAGCGGCAGCTGCCC